AATATGACTTTGCAATATATAAGATTAATTATTACTAATTATTGATGATATTTTATTAGTTCATTTCATTCCTCAAGTGTAATAACAAATTACGGAATACATAAGCTAAATTGATAAAGAAGTTTTTATATTAATTTGGTCTATTGAAATACGTTAACGCTTTATTTAATAATTTTTGTTGAAGCTTTGTTTAAGATGCTTAATTAATCTTTCATAAAAAAATTATTATTTAATATTTAGGTAGCCCGTGATGCGCACTGGACCGATAATACTATATTAAATTCACAAAATTTCATCGGATATTCTTGAGTGTATTTGAATTTTATCTCCATTCTTTTTTAAAGTTTTGCACATATCAGTGTTCTTATCTCGTGCTTCCTCCCTTTCCTCTTCCTTATTTTTCCAATTTCTTTCTTCTACTTATTCTTCTTCTATGTTTTTTTGTTTTTTGGGTCTGACTCCATCTCGATCGATGCTATTCTTCATTCTTGAATATTAGAGCATTAAAAAATTTATGAATTCTATGTCTTCAAGAAAATAAGGAAAATACTTGTATCTTTTATATTGTACATTTGTATATAAGATATCGTATTGATACGTGTTAAAAAACGATTTAAAATTGAAACAATTTTATATACATCTTTGAAGTAATACTTACTGCATGCATTATAAATTAATCCTAACGTCAATTCTTTTGTGTTAGTTATAATGATTTCTTGTAAGTTGAATAACACAGAAATTTTTCAATCCGATAATTTCAATAATTTAACAAAATATTCTAATGATCTTTCAATTTTTTTTATTTATATTTCTAAGGATCTCTTTACAGTTACAGCTAAACTTTAAGACCAATTATCTCTGAATTTGCGTGGGGTCCACCTCGTATGGCAGTCTTGAGGAGAACGTACATATAAGTTGCGGAATGGAAAATTTGAGTGGGCCCATGTTGGTACTATATCTAGCAGAAATGCGGCTTTACAAAAAGTTTGGGTGGGCCCATGTTTTTGCTAGGCCCCACGCAAATTCAGAGATAATTTGTCTTAAAGTTTAGCCGTAATTGCAAAGAGATTCTTAGAAATATAAATTAAAAAAAAATTGAAAGATCATTAGAATATTTTGTTAAATTATTGAAATTATCGGATTGAAAAATTTCTGTGTTATTCAACTTACAAGAAATCATTATAATAACACAAAAGAATTCAACTTTTTTTCAAGTTGAAGCTAGTAAAGAACAACAAATCCTATTATTTAAAGTAGATTTGAGCGGTGAATCGTGTATTGGATTGTTGAAAATCGAAAAATATGTTTATGTTTTAGAATCTAAGATTCGAAATATGAAGTTGCATTCAATAGTGTGAACTACTTAAGATTCGAATTTCTGAAGTTGCAACCAACAAAGTGAACTATTTAAGATTCGAATTTCTGAAGTTGCATTAAAGAGATTGAACTACTTCAAATCCGAGCGGATAATTAACTCAAACTTCAAATAATATTTATTCGTATTTTCAAATATTACATATATGGAATTCTCATTAATTAATATCATTCTCTATACACACCTTTACGAATGACAACTCTCAATAATATAATGAAACCTTATCATAAACTCATAAATGTTGCTAATATTTAGTTTGTATTTTCGCCTCATTTTATTTAACTTAAATACAGATTAGAAGATAAAATAATTTTGGCCTAATACATACGTTGCCCCCTTAATCTGTATGCACATTCCTTTGACACACTACAGTTTTACGTGTAATATTCTTGTCAATCCCTTTTCAATCAAATTAATTTTATTCGTAAAGTAATTTCTCTGCAATTCAAAAAAGAGTAGTTTTTTTGTTTTATATTTTTATAGATGAACTTCTCAATTATTGAAGAATTACTTTTCATAAAATAAATTGGTATACATTTATATTATGCTAAATAATTAAAACCAAGTTTAATATAAATATATACATAACTAATGTTAGTGCATAGCAGGAGCTTAGTGCATCGGGCTGCCCTTTTTTATACACCTAATTAATATTAAATGATGAAACTCTAATAAAGAAAAACAACATCTACAATATTGCTTGAAGTTGCTAACCTATGAGACCTGAGTTGAGGATCTATCAGAAACAACCTCTCAACCTCGTACCTGCATAAGGTATAAGTAAGGTCTGTGTACATACTATCCCGTGGAACTACACTCGTAATTGTTGTTGCTAACCTAGGAAACCATAAGAAAGTATTCAACATTAGTACAAGAAACAAACAACTCTTGTTTGTTTTTGTACCTGTTAATTTTATCAAAGTTTTCAAACAAATGGAATATCAGAAAATTTTCCTAAAACCCAAATGAAGCTATAATTTTTAGAATTTACATTCACTATATTTATGGGGTAAAAACAATTATTAAGGTTTAGAAAATAAATTTGCTAATGTGTGGTATTACTCAGTTATTTATTAACTTATTAAAATACAATCCAAATATAGGAATATAACAAAATTTCGAAATAATAGCCATTCAAGATTTCCTTTTCCAAAATAAAATGTTAATTTAATATCCAAAATTAATTTAAAATTTTGAAGGAAAAAAACACAAAAATAAAGTAAACAAATACATTATGATCAGTTTTGGACTTTTGGTACTCTGATTTTCCTATTTAGTGATGTTCCCGTATTTTGTCTTATTATGATATCTTAAAAAGTTTTATGTTATGGAATATTAATATTAATGTGGAAACCTAATATAAAAAATTTGAGTTCTACTAAAAAAGGATGTTATCCTGTAGGATTCCAATAACACACTTGTGTATAGATTGAAAAGCCATGGATGATAACCCAGAGCTCTTTATTTTTCTGCTAGCACCATGAATGATGACTCAAAGCTCTTCCTTTTTCTGATTTTTTTGAGTATTGAAGCGGGTGCAATCTCTTGTTTGTTCTGTAATCTAGTCTTTAAGTAGAAACAAGGAGGTTCAGTAGCTGATGGAACCTTATGTGTCATTAAAAATTGGCTCTGGACCCCACATGTGCCTGACTTCTTCCACGTATCACAAAGTCATCAAGTTTTGTACAAATGAGCTTCTTGAGCTCTCTTTGTCATCAACATGCCTGCCTGGCATATACTAGGGCTATTTTAGTAAATTTAACTAAGTTGGTTATTTTGATTGGCCCATATCTATAGTTATTACTGTAACTGCTTCATTGTTTTATTTTTGTGAAGACAGTTTTGCCCACTGGTGATGCATTTTACACCGTCAATCACACGGGTAGGATACATTTTCACTTTTTATTTACAGTCCTGCAATAGCACTGAGTTGTAAGCTTTCTAGCATATCTTCATGGTTATTACGTGGCCACGTGGATTTGTACTGACAATGCTGTCTTATGTGTTGTCCCATATGGATAGGGAGCAGCTCATTCTTTCACTTTATTGACACAACTATGCTTTAGTTGGCTAGTAAAGAGCAAGAAAAAGATTGGGCTGGCGTGCACGATAAAGTTGGAATATACTTCAACTCACTATTTGCAAAAATTAATTTTGTTATTTTATTTTTGCCATATCTTGAAGTGGTCAAAATTAGTCAGTTTGAAGTTAATTTTTAAACTAGCCAGTATAAATTTATTAGATGATGATTCTGGTATTAATTATAATTAACCATTGGTGATTAATCTTTAACTATCCGTTAGTGAGGTGTTAATCCTAAACTAGCAGTTAATCCACCGACAAATCACACCAACCCAATAAGTGAAACCGAGAAAAAAAATCGAATATGATTTGGTGTTGAAAAATAAAATCCGACCATATTTGATTTGGTAAATCAAACCGTAACCAAACCAATCCGATATTATATGTTTCCACATTAATATTAATATCCCATAACATAAAACTTTTTAAGATATCATAAAAAGACAAAATACGCGAACATCACTAAATAGGAAAATCAGAGTACCAAAAGTCCAAAACTAATCATAATGCATTTGTTTACTTTATTTTTGTGTTTTTTCCTTCAAAATTTTAAATTAATTTTGGATATTAAATTAACATTTTATTTTGGAAAAGGAAATCTTGAATGGTTATTATTTCGAAATTTTGTTATATTACTATATTTGGATTGTATTTTAGTAAGTTAATAAATAATTGAATAATTCCACACATTAGCAAATTTATTTTCTAAACCTTAATAATTGATTTTCCCCATAAATATAGTGAATGTAAATTCTAAAAATTATAGCTTCATTTGGGTTTTAGGAAAATTTTCTGATATTCCATTTGTTTGAAAACTTTGATAAAATTAATAGGTACAAAAACAAACAAGAGTTGTTTTGTTTCTTGTACTAATGTTGAATACTTTCTTATGGTTTCCTAGGTTAGCAACAACAATTACTAGTGTAGTTCTTGCAGAATTTTTAAGCGATAACAAACTTCACAAACACCTCGAAGAGCATACACCACAGCCATAACGAAGAAAGACACCAACAGGAGGAAGGATGATAGCAAGGAGGACTTCGAGAAAAGTTTCAGAACCTATTTTCGTCTTTCTCTCTCTGTGTTTCCTTTTAGGTTTTGTGATCTATAAAACTTGGGAAATTTAGAAGGAAGAAGAAGTAAAAGGAGTATATAATGTGTCAGTTAATTAGGGCTTAAGGATACCACGTGGAAGCACCTCAACACATGGAATCCTATGGCTAGCTTAGTCCAATAAATGTTAGGAACTCAAATAAATCGAACCAAAGTCCAAATTGCATGTATAACTAAGGATATTAAAACAGATCTTTGTTTGAGAATACTACTCAAATTTCAGTTGTGCTGACCAATTAACTTACGTTTTTTCTCTTTTAAGGATAAATTCAAGAAGCAACACGACAAAACTAAGATTTTCATGTAACTAAACCATTCAGTCAAACATTACTGGAAATAATTCATACAGAGAATAGTTATCTATAAGGAATAGCAACTTTTACCTCTTTTTTTTGTTCCAAGTACTACTTCTCGTCTTCATCTCCCGGGATATATGAAATTATAATCTAACTCTGAAGGAAAGAGATGGATTAACAAGCATATGCAAATTTGAAATACCCCAAACATTGTAACAAAAATTGCAGACCGAAATTGGAATAGAGAAATTTTAAGGGCCTGGATTATACAAATTGCATTAAAAAATAGAGTGTAAACTGCTAAGTTGAATTAATTTAGGCGGATCCTCCAGGAAACAATCCAAACCCAACAACAATTGAAGGAAAAGAAACGGAAGACTAAAACTAACCTTCTAACTGTTGTGATATTTTAAAAAAATGGACAAATGTTCAACCATGTGGCAACTTGCATGGGAAGTTCAAAACATGTGACAACTTGCATGGGAAGTTCAAAGCAAGTGTCATACACTTGCCATGCCCCAAGTCTCTCAATTAGCCTATTAATAGACCTTCAAATAGCCACCATGTATCAACACATTTTTACTTTGCCTCTTGCATTCCTCTCAGCTTCCTTTTCTTCCTCCTTAAAATATTTGTAGTCTACTTTATTTTGTTCCCTCTTTTAAAATATCTGGGTTTGTAATTTACTTATTTTGTTGATTCATGTATCCTCCCTAATAGAGGTAGGCTTGTTTAATCCGGGAGAGACATTTCACACTGCTGAAATAGTTTCTTAGGACAATGCCCAGCACGACTCAAGGCAATTCGTGTATTTCCGCTCACAAATAATATTATTGCAGTATTATTATTATCGTTACTTTTTTGTGCCATTTCCCTACAATCTAAGAAACTATGACAAGTAATACTACTACGAAATTTTTTTATGGTACTACCAATTTTGGTGTTTTCTCTGTTGTTACTATTTCATCTGTCCTGCCAGATATCCATGGTGTTGCAAATACGTTAATGCATCCACAACTTTGGCAAACACTAATGTCAAAACACAGATATGTGAATAGACACGGTTACATATCCAATGCTAATATTAAAACCTTCAAGAAAAATGCAACTCAATGTGATAGAAGAGTTGGGATAAATGACAATCTCGCTAAGTCAAAATTAAATTTGACTAAAGCGGATAATATAGTTGTTGCGGTTATTTTCCAAATAAATAATGTGGCCAATGTGAGAAATTGGATGATAGACTCTGGTACTACTAGGCATATTTGTGCAAACAAAAATGAATTTTTGTCTTACACCCTAGTTGAGGAAGGAGAAGAAACTATTTATCTTGGTGACTCAAGAACAACTCGTGTTCTTGGGAAAGGAAAAAGTCTTCTCAAACTCACATCTGGTAAAACTCTAGTATTGAGTGATGTATTGCATATTCCTAATATCCAAACCAATTTGGTTTCTGTGGGGTTATTAGGAAAAGTTGGAGTAAAGGTTTCATTTGAAAATAATGAGGTCGTATTGACCAAAAATAATATTTTTGTGGGCAATGGATATTGTACTCATGGTTTATTTGTGCTTATTTCCGATACTAGCAATAAAAATGCATCTTATTCTGCTTATATGGTTGAGTCAATTTCTTTGTGGCATGCTATACTAGGACATGTTAATGTCGCGTATATAAAGAAAATGTAGTCGCTAGGATTAATATTTGGTTTAGACTCAAGTAATATTAATAAGTGTGAAATATGTGCTGAAGCTAAAAGTACAAGAAAGACTTGTTTTTCTGTAAATAGAGAAACTGAATTGTTATTTTTAATTCACACTAACTTAGGTGATTTAAAGCAGACTATGACTAGAGGTGGTAAAAGATATTATGTGACTTTTATTGATGATTTTTCTAGATATACTAAGTTGTATTTGCTTAGAAATAAAGATGATGCATTTAATGCTTTTATTTCTTATAAAACTAAGGTTGAAAATCAACTTAGTAGAAAAATCAAGAGAATTAGATTAGATAGAGGTGGAGAGTATTTGTCTTTGAATGATTTTTGTGAAAAAGAAGGAATAATTCATGAAGTAACTCCGCCTTATTCACCTGAGTCAAATGGAGTAGCTGAAAGAAAAAATAAAACATTGAAAGAGATGATGAACTCTATTTTAGTTACTTCTAATGCTCCTAATAATTTGTGGGGTGAAACTATTTTATTACATGTCACTTACAAAATAGAATACAACATAGAGGAACAGGCAAAACTCCTTATGAATTGTGGAAGGGTTATAAACCTAACTTAAAATATTCAAAAGTGTGGAGGTGCCTTGCTAAAGTTCTTTTGCCTTAACCTAAAAAGAGAAAAATAGGTTCCAAAACTACTGATTGCTTGCTTATTGGATATGCTGAACATAGTGTTGCATATAGATTTCTTGTTTTAAAAAGTGATGTGCTTGATTACAATACTATAATTGAGACAAAGAATGCTGAGTTCTTTGAATATATTTATCCATTGTGTGATAAAATATCTCATACACTTGTTGAAACAAATAGTGAAATTACCCCTAATGAGGAACTGAGAAGGAGAAAAAGGCCTAGAAAAGAATATTTTTCTTATGGAAATGATTTTCAAACATTTCTTGTCGATAATGAACCAACAACTTATCTCAAAAGCTAATTATTGGAAAGAGACAATAAAAATTGAAATTGATTCTATTATGAAAAATAATACATGAATTTTAACTGACTTACCTCCTGGTGCAAAATCTATTGGTTGTAAATGGATTTTCAAAAAGAAATTTAATCCTGATGGATCTTTAAATAAATATAAAGCTCAGTTAGTAGCAAAAGGATTTTCTCAAAAACAAAATATAGATTATTTTGATACATTTGCACCAGTGACTAGAATTTCTTCTATTCGAGTTTTAATTGCCTTAAGCTTCAATTCTTAAGCTTTTTATCCACCAGATGGATGTCAAAACAACGTTTTTTGGTGATTTAGAAGAAGAAATTTATATGGTTCAACCTGAAGGTTGTATCATTCCTGGACAAGAAATTAAAGTTTGTAAATTAACTAAAGCTCTTTATGGCCTTAAACAAGCTCCTAAGCAGTGGTATGAGAAATTTGAACAAGTCTTACTGAGAGACGGTTTTTCTTCAGTTGAGGTGGATAAATGTGTTTATGCTAAAGTGGTAGACAATGATTATGTGATAATATGTCTATATATTGAAGACATGTTTACATTTGGTACAAGTTTAAATATTGTGCAAAGTACTAAATTATTTTTTTCTTCTAATTTTGATATGAAAGATCTGGGTGAAGTAAATATGATATTGGGAGTTAAAGTTATAAGGAGTGAAGATGGCATAATGTTGTTACAAGAACATTATGTTGAGAGACTTCTTAAGAAGTTTGAATATTTTAATGTCACATCTATGAGCACTCCTTTTGATGATAATTCTCAGTTGAAAAAGAATAATGGTGACCCAGTTACTCAGCCTAAATATGCTCAGATTATTGGGAGTCTGATACATTTAATGAATTTTATAAAGCCTGATATAGCCTATACAGTGTGTAGACTGAATAGATATAATCATAATCCCAACAGAGAGCATTAGTCAGCATTAGATAGACTAATGAAATATTTGAGAGGAACCATGAATTATGGTATCCTATATAGTGGATTTCCTTCTATTTTAGAAGGGTACAATGATACAAACTGGATCTCTGATTCAGATGAGACAAAATCTACTAGTGGTTATGTATTCATATTTGGTGGTGGTGCAATATCGTGAAAATCAGCTAAACAGACGATCATTGCTAGATCGACTATAGAATGAGAGTTTGTAGCTCTGGAGTTAGTTGGTTCAGAGGCTGAGTGGCTAAGAAACTTCTTAGTTAATATCTTTTTAATAAAGGACGTATTGCCTCCTGTGTCTATACATTGTGTTTGTCAGGCGGCAATAGCTATAACAAAGAATAAATCTTATAATTGTAAAAGTAGACATATGAAATTGAGACATGATGTCATAAAGCAGTTGCTGAGAGATGGAATAATTTCCATTGATTATGTGAAGTCAGAAATTAATTTGGCTGATCCTCTGACTAAACTTGTGGGAAGAAAATTAATTCTTCAAACCTCAAAAGAGATGGGGTTAAAGCCGACATGTTGTCAATAGAGATGGTAACCCAGCCTATGTGATTGGAGATCCCATGAAGTAGGTTCATATGGGTAATAAAAAGTCAATATTGGCACTAATGCACTAAAAGAGAGTGTTTGACTGCTACTAATTGAGAGGCTGAGTTATAACTCTTAATAAAATTCAGTCCTTATGAATGGTGTAGTTAAAAATAGTATACACTTGATGAATTCACCTATATGAGAGTGGAGTGGGCCGCTCCTACGAGATTTTGGCCTATTCTCTAAAGCTATTGTGAATAACCAGGCACGCGCATGACCTATTGGGCGTAAAATCGCGTTGAACAACAAAATTACCGGGGGTCAAAATATGATTGATAAAATCTCTGACTTACAATAAGAATTATTGGTTCATAGAAATATTATATTTCACTAGTAATTCTGTGAGTTAAACTTTATTGATCTAAGTTTGGTTCATAGTCCAAAATACACCAAACCTATTGCATTTGGACCATATAAATCCAGCAAATCTTACTCCTCTTTGTATGAATTTTTTGAAAATATGTGGGGGAACTGTTGTGATATTTTCCAAAAATGGACAAATGTTCAACCAAGCGGCAACTTGCATGGGAAGTTCAAAACAAGTGTCATACACTTGTCATGCCCTAAGCCTCTCAATTAGCCTATAAATAGACCTTCAAATAACCATCATGTATCAGCACATTTTTACTTTGCCTCTTTCGTTCCTCTCAGCTTCCTTTATTTATAGCCTACTTTGTTTTGTTTCCTCTTTTAAAATAGCTAAGTTTGTAATTTACTTATTTTGCTGATGCATGTATCCTCCCTAATACAGGTAGGCTTGTTTAATCCTGGAGAGATATTTCACACTACTGAAATAGTTTCTTAGGACAGTGTCCAGCACGACTCAAGCCAATTTGTGTATTTTCGCTCACAAATAATATTATTGCAGTATTATTATTATCGTTACTTTTTGGTGTCATTTCCCTACACTAACCCTGTGATTATCTTGATGGAGCAAATGTTGAATTGCAAAAACTCAACAAAAATCACAATCTCTTGTCAATATATAACAGAAATTGATGGGTCAGCGGAAAAGCCAAGGGAATCTAAACATAGAGAAAAGAGAGATGTGAAGGAAAATCTTGGTAAAGCAGAGATTTAGGCGGTGGCAGTCAGAGTGGCTTGCAAAATTACCTATGTAGTCTTTCTCTAAACGACTCAAATCAGCCAATATAGGGACACAACAAGAATTTGGATGGAACAAGAGCAGTAAGGCGAAAAATTCATATCCAAACCCTACTCATAATTCTAACAATATTCTTCATTAACTCCTTCATAAACGAGCCCAGTTCTCAATTCTCTGCTTTGCCTGCAATCGCTCTTTCACTATTTTCATCGGAAGTTGTTGAATGTGAGAGGAGAATTTTTTGTTACTTCGCTTAGCTCTCCGGTATTCTTCTTCCCTCTTTTTAAATTTTTTTGGTGGATTTCATAGGTGAATTTTTGATTCCTCTCTTTATTAGCCATGTCTATATTTTCATAATTTTCAATATGAAATTTAGGGGTTCTGTGTTCTGGTTTGGTTTAATCTATGCATGTTTGGAAATTGATACTTAGATGCATGATTTTGAACATTTGATAAATACAAATCTAACATTTTAAATAAAACTTAACCTCAAAAGTTATTACTCCTAACAGAACTCGACAAAATTATTCTCTTTTTCCACTTTTTGTCTCCTTTGGTTGATTCTAAGTTCTAGCAACTGGTGTTTTTTTCGTTTTTTTTTTGTTTCACCATATTCTGAGATTTAGTAGTTTTGGTCTTTCACTGATCTGTGTGAACAGTCTTAGGACTTTTCCGGACTTTCTGCAATTTTTTTGATTTTCTTTTTTGTTCTTTTTTGCTCTATTCATAGCCAAACATATATACAAAGGCTTTACAACATTTTAAACAAGTATTTCAGTAATGAATATGGTTGAAGTTCTTGATTGTTCTCCCCTAATCGACCCCTTCATTTAACAGTATCTTCCGATTCATCGAGAAATTGATAGAACCATAATGAAAGTACTTGTGGATAGAAACTGTTGCATAGCAGTCGTTCTAATGGGTTCATTGTCTTTGCTGCTATTTTCTTTTTGATTCTTTGTACTATGAGCTTCCCTTTGCGTTAGAGTTTTTCTCTGTATCTTAAATAGCGTTTTCTAATCTTGAGTACGACCTTTTTTTTTTCCGAAGAATTCTCACGGGTTTAATGGTCATCATCTTCTTCTCTTTTTCCTTTTTTTCTTTCTAATTTATGCACTAAAATGACGGGGAGGTGTTGCTTTATATATACTTGGCCGTGTGAGTGTAGCGTAGTGTATGAAGAATATCCTATAATTCTTGCAAGGAGTATAGGAATATCTCCTTATTAGGGTATTAGTGTACTCAAATTTGTCCCCTCGTATATATCTTTTCAAATACAATATTACACCAAGATCGTGGTATATACAGGTTTATCGCTGCAAACTATATTCAACTCAACAACAAAATAGGTCCCGCTTATCCACTAGCGTTGGAGCTGATCAATTGGTATAATATCTTTAATATTATTCCTTAAAGTTAATATGCACATCATATTGATATTGAATACCCCCTATGTTGTGACAATAGGGCAAAAACAAACATCGACATGTTTGCAAGTTATGCATCACGCAACTTCTCAGGGTCTTCCGCCTCTCTGTCACGACCCTAACCGGACTCGATCGTGATGGCGCCTCTCGTGAAACAAGGCCAGCCGACACAAACCCCCAAACCAACTAAACAGTTAGGGATAATGCATAAAATCCTCCCCGACCTATGACCATATTACCAACTACACACCTTTTCT